CGATCATACTGGTTAAGAATTTCTTCATGAGCAGCAAGAGTTTTGCAATGAATGAGAATGTTTTCCAGAAAACCAAAACGTTTCCAATAAATTTAATTAAATTTGAAGATTAACTAAATTTTTCAAATTTTATTAAAATATATTAGCATTCATTATTATTGCACCCCAGTTCAAACTTAAAAATGACCAGTTCATGTAGTCCAATTGCAATTTCACCGTTTATATTGCAGTATCTCAACGTGTTACGAGGTACCTTAATGACATTGGGTTTAGCGTCTACTACAACGGACAGAACATCGGACGATATCTTATTTCAAAGGTATGTACTTGCCCACTGATAACTCTAAAGTATACAAAGTTCGGTGGAGGGATTGCGACATGGTGTGCATCATAGAGACCAACCGGAAATCGAACATTGTGATGAAAGAGCACCTTGATGCGATCCGTTTTTGACAGGCTGAGAATTCTGGTATTGCCTAGCATCTGATGATTTAAGGGCATTCTTTCGGTCAGACCAATGTCTGTCATAAACAAAGTCTAATTCGAGTTAGTTCTATTGATAAAGGAGTCTTTGCATGCATTGGCAATGAAAAACCGATTGTGCGATGAATGCACATCTTTTCTGGCTATTATCGAAAACTGGGGGACGATCGCAATATTGATACGACTGTTAAAATGAAGACTTCTCAATTGCTGCTAGTTAACATTCTGGGCCGTTCAGCTTAGTATCATTCTGATTGTAAAATATTGTTCGCTTGAAGGACATGGACCTCCAAGCAGTCATTTTTATTGAGCCTAGTACTGATGATGCTATGGTCTATGTAGCGAAATGCGTCGGCAATAGACTACTGTACCGTCTGTTGTACTTGGTACCCTGAGCCATGAATCGTTCAAACACCTACCAATATAACAATGGGCCTAAGTTCAATGATCTTAAATTTTTATCTCATTTTTCCTTTTAGCACAATGTGTCAACCTGGACACAGTCATTTCTTCGGAGTAGAATTGTTGTTATGAACATTTGCTGCTGTCTACAAAG